CCGTGTCTGCTGAACGTTCTCTGTAGTAGCGGTACTTTCAAACATGCTTGAGTATTTTTGCATTTGAATTAAATGAATTTCGATACTAATCGTGTCGTCAAAATACTCAACAGTTTGGAAGTACCACTACTAAAGACGACGTTCAGCAAATACAGTAGCCAATATCTTGAATGGAGTCGTGCATTACATTTACTGTTTCAGTTTTGTTTTAGTTTGTGTGTAGTTCGTCAATGAATGAGTCACGTATGGAAACAGTGAATGGATTCACTTTACTGAGTTGATCTGAATATTTCAAAGCATTGAAATGAATCACTTAGCATAAAACTAATACACAATTTCTACTAAATTAATAGCTTTCATTAGTCTTTCACGTAAATAATTACTGTAATAAGTATAATAATAAATTTTTTCTTAAGTTTTTAGGTGACTTAAATAAATTTTATTCTGTAATAAACATAGGAATTATATTGTTTTATGTCTCGATTTTATTTATTCGTCTCTTTTAGTATTTTTTGTATTTTCAATCTGTAAACACCTCTTTTCATATCTATTATGTAATTAAATGCAATTGTTTTCTCTCATTCCTAGATGGCGCCAGGAGGAGTTTTAAATCAATAAAAATTAGTTTTTAAATTTACTTAATAAATTAAAATAATGTATTTATTTAATATTTCATTTTTATATTTTATGGCTTTTAGTATTTAATTTTTAAAAGAAAAAAATGAATAAATAATAAAAATACCGACTTCAAATTATTTAAATATTTAATATGAATTTTTTATGCACAAGTTTATTAAGCATATTTTTTAATTTAAAATATGAATATTTAAATAATCAAAAATGTATGGGCTAATAATTATAATTATTTTTTAATTGCAATTATTTTTTGACATGAAATGAAAAAATTATCTTCCATTAACCAAAAATAAATAAGTTAACTTAAACAATAAATTAATTAATATAAATAGTTATTTTATCAAACTATTAATCTGTTAATATATTATTTTAATATTATGGAAGGACAAACTAATTATTTAATTCAAATATATTTAACTTACATTATACATGAAATGACATTCTAGTTTAACTACAGTCGACCCGCCTATAAGATCGTTGATTTTTCCGTTTTATCTGAATTACATGTTGTACGAGTCACTTAGATTTTACAAATACGTGTGCCGGGCTGTGAACGGCTCACATATTTGTAAAATCTAAGTGACTCGTACAACATGTAATTCAGATAAAACGGAAAAATCAACGATCTTATAGGGGGGTCGACTGTATTTTTCATGTCAGAATTCTTATATAAAAATGTACACAAGCTTATTTATTTTTCATGAGAAATTTTGGCGATGGAAAATATGTAATTATCCTGCGAGTTGTTTTTATATTTCTCTCCTTTTGTTGGAAATATTATAACAATAAGAGTATGGATATGCAGTACACCGTAAGTACACCGTATAAGTACAGTGTGGTATACATTATAATAACAGCAAATTTACATAACATCATTTGTATACTTTTAATACCTATTGTATCCAAAAAATAAATATATAAGGCCCAGATGGATTTAAGATGATCACTCCCACATATAATAAACCCTCATATAAAGTAGTAAGAAAAAATATTAGGTTGATGCAAAAGTTTCTGAAATTTTCTGGATCTCTGTAGAATATTCGAAATTGTTCTTCGATTGTTCATATGTCGAAGATGGCATTTAGAAGTTTCTTATGGGGTATGTAAATGGATAGTGTCGAGATGCTCAATCATAAGTGAAAAGATATTCTTCTGTGTGGCGATATCAACTTCGCAAATACATCAAGTTTGTCATCGCTTCTCGTGACCCACATCAACTGTACATATACGCACTTTACGATTAAAGATTTGCTATAAAAGCAGCTGAATCTTATCGTAATACAGTGAAATCGTTTGGCAGGAATATTGTCTCCAAGTCTTCAATCTATGATTGGTTCAGTAAATTTAAAGCTAGGCAATATGAAGTCGAAGCATAAACCATGTTCAGGAAAGCATTTCCGTCCTATTAGTTGACGAGCTGCGGCAGCTGGTGGAAGCCAACCACGCCTGGACACTTGATTCTAATGTCCACCATATTATTTGATCCGCAAACCTTTCCAATCTTACTTGATTGGAAAGGTTTGCGGATCAACGTTTGGGTTCCCGAGAATCTTAACCTAAGATCTACCGGGTCAACCTTGACGCGTGTGAAGATGCTTGATCTCGACTGGGAGGTTCTCCCTCGTCCCCCGTATAGACCAGACATTGCCGCCATCTGACTACCATTTCTTCCACTCTATGAAACATTTCGTGGATGGAAAGCAGATGGTAAGGAAATGAAAATAGCACTTGAAGATTTTTTTCGAGTCAAAACAGCTTGAGTTTTATTCAGAAGGAATCCGTGACCAGTGGCGTACCGTAGTGGGGGCGGCAAAGTTTCACAATAAATAATAATAATATCTTGTAAAAATTTGAAATATCCCAATCTATACTTGCATCGCGCCTACGATAGTGCTATCGTCCGGACAGTCCGGGAATCGGCTCGCCGTCCGAGTGAACTAGTAATTTTTTTTATCCAAGGAAATCCTGCGAAACCTGTTGACCTTTTTTTCTTACTTGTACGATTCATTCGCGTTCATATACACCACTAATATCCAATAGAACTATTTTAAACAGGTCGCTGCACGACCACCGAATTTTTCATCGCTTGTTCTGTGACAAAACTGAAGTTTGGTCTTTTAAATTGAAATACCTAAATAAGGGGAGGCCGAAATTTTTCTCCGCCCCGGGCTTATGACACCCACGGTACGCCACTGTCCGTGACCTGCCCAATCCATTGAAGATAGTGCTTGAATACAATAGCAATTATTTTCTTGAATAAATTACTTTTTGTTTTTGAAATAATTGTTGTACTGTAAAACTCTAGAAACTTCAGAAATTTTTAAATCAACCCGATATATATTTTATTTATTATTGGGTTGATGCAAAATTTATTTTTACTCTTCTTCTCATTTCGTTACTTTATTAGTAAAAGTTTAAGAAATTCTATCACCGCGGGACTGACAGAAAATGAACGTTAAACTGGAAATTCGTCATAAATATGTTCGCACAACTCAAAAATTTTGTTCTGTAATCTTAGAGATTGGGTCGCGGAAAATCTGAAAATTGATTACAGTAGAACCTCGAAAACTCGTCCCTCGATAACTTAGCACTCCGGATAACTGGTCCACACCTTGGCAGGGCGAAAAAATCCTTAGTTAATTAATTTTCATTATAGACAGCTTTATAAAAGTATAAAAGCTCTCATAAAGTATTTTTCTGAGGTCTGTCTTATCAGGTAAATTACTGTACACAGTGTATTCATTAATTTTCATTTTCATGTAGTGGCTCTATGCCTTCATAAAGGACGTACTTTTCCTTTGTTTAAGGGTATTTGGGCAGTTTATTCTCTGTTATATTCTTCTCAAGTAAACAATAACAAGTTACAGTACAGTATTTTCTGAGGAAATACTCGTACTTATTTTTTTTAACCCCATTCCG